CCAGGAGCTGCTGATACAGTTCTACAGAGGAATCATCGAGTCTGTTCTCTGCCCCTCCATCACTATCTGGTTTGGCTCAGCAACCAAACGGGACAAGTACAGACTTCAGTGGACAGTCAGGACTGCAAAAAAGATCATTGGTGTGAGCCTGCCCTCCATGGAGGACCTGTACACTGCACGGGTCAAAAGGAGGGTGGAGAGGATCACTGCAGACCCCTCACACCCCGGATACAATCTGTTTGAACTCCTCCCCTCTGGATGGCGCTACAGGTCACTGTGCACCAAGACAACCAGGCACAGGGACAGTTTCTTCCCCCAGGCTGTCGCTCTGATGAACACTTAACCAATGACCATATGATTGGACAATAAACCTCAGTGTAATACCTGTAAATATACATTGTACAGATTATACAGACTCGTACAGGTCTCTAGTACACTGTTTTAAGTACTCTATTTTTATCCCTAATTATCTCATTTCAAAGAACAGTCCGTTGTCTGCATTGTTTACCGTCTGTTCATACTGCTTATTCTGCACTGTTTGTTGCTTGTAAATACTGCTTATTTTTGTTATATTGCACAGCCTTATGCTGGTTTACTGTCTGAACATTGAGAGCCGATGTACCAGAGTCAAATTCCTCGTGTGTCCAACACACCTGGCCAATAAAGCTGATTCTGATTCTGAGATTCTGATGAGGTGATGATTCATCTGAAGCTGGAACCACCTAAGACTTAGTTAATAAAATCCACAAAGTATGGCAGCCATTCCTGACTAGAACAATAATATTAATACTACAGGAAAAATAACTACCTGTAACTGATATCAATTTTTTCCACTCTGTCTATAAAATATCAAATTTGTTAAATTTCATATTTGATTTATTCTTTTTTTCATTTGGCAAACACTGAACTGCATATATTCAGTTTACTCTCGCTGGTGACTGTGGAAACCAGAAAACATTTACATTTGAGAAGCCTGAGCTCAACTGAAAACTGAGCAAATTCCAGAAAAAGAGTGGAAATACTGAGTGGAATTATTTTGTCAAATTACACAAATGTCATGCCACTCCAAAACAACTCTATGAAAACAGAAGTGTATAACACGTGTCCTTCACTCCCACTTCTGTGACATGCTTATTAAAAAAAAAAAAATGCAAAGTGTTACAAAAATATACCAGGAGAGCCAAACAATAACATTAAAAACAAAGCCCACACTATATCAAGAAATGCTTGATTATCAATATTGAACTCATTATCAATATAAAATGTTTTCTGTAATCTGAATTGCTGATGAGAAGTATTTTCCCTGTGTGACGGACTGACGGAGTAGCTCCGTCACGAGTGGCTGACGAAGTATGTAGGCTACTCAGACATGCAGTACTTTCGCACATACACGAATCAAAAGGAGAGCCATCACTTTTATATGAGCATAGAGAAACGGATCCACAACATAGTTAAGTTGTGTTAGTACTTACTGTGTTTCATGTCGTTTAGTTGCTGGGATGAGTGTTTTGTTGTCATTTGTCTGTCAAGTTGTAGGTTCAAACATTGCAACCAATTTTAAGGTCATTAAATATGGTTATGTGTGTGCCATGTGAGTAGACGTTACTGTGACTCGATTGGTATGGGGCGGAGCCTAGAGTATTAAAGGCGACCCCCCAAGTTCCAACTCTAGTGTGGAGAGTTGTTTTTTTTTCTGAGCTGCATAGAAGGCTGTACCTGTTCTGCTGATAACTGCAGTGTTACCAGTGTGTGTTTTTTTGAGAATGTTTGTAAATGTCTGAATTTTTCTATTTTTCACTTTGGGGATGAGCACAATAAATTATTGGCTTGGACTGCATTTGCGACTACGCCATCTTATTAGTTTTTCCTTAAAAAGAACCATGTCACAGAAGGATATTAACCAAATCTAATGGTTTTGTGTTCAAAGGCCAGGTTCAGACAGGTTCAAATGCCCCCAGTTTCAGAACTGATTCCTGTTGGTTCTGGTTGAATATGTATTACAACATCCACCACCAGTCAAGAGTTTGGACATACTTTCCATTTGAACTGAAAGGGAAAGTGTGTCCAAGCATTTAACTGGCAGTGTATGAATTAAACAAAGTAATATATTTCAGTCAAAACAAACTTCTACAGGTCTATACATTTCATAGCACAAAAGACAAATCTTGTAGTCATTAGATTCTCAAAATCAAGACTTGTTAGAATGTACATTATTGATTGAAATTTAAACCTACTTGAGTCTTGTACTTTAATGGTGCAAGCATACGCATGTGTTGGTGTCATCCTGTGAGCCTCACCTGCTGAATGACATCAGGGTAGAGCATGGGCAGTCTCTCAGCAATGAGGGCCAGGCCACCCATGCCTGCAAACACCTGGAGTGGTGATTGGATAGGGTTGGTGTCCAGCAGGGACTCGTCAGTGGTAGCGTCCAGACATTCTTCGCTGGCTGTCATCAGTTCATCCTCAGAACAGCTGTTCAGCATGTCACAGTGATCAACTGCAAGGAGAGCAAACAGATGACCTGTTGTATGTTCATGCACTGTCTGGCATCTGGAGCACTGAGCACTATATTTGTTTGTATCCTGGTCTACCATGAAAAGAATGTCCTTACTAAACTGGTCCTTCAGCATGCTTCTTTCACTGTTGGGTCGGTGTAGCAGTCTGCCATGTATGCAGCCTATCATGTGGTGGGATTGAACAGTGGTGAGAACAAAGACTCTACATACATGAAGTGTTTAAAACTTATTTTGATAATGTCAAAATGTAGTTGAACCAGTGTCTCTTTATGATCATAACGTTTTTTTTTTTTGTTTGTTTTTTTTTTACAAATACAGCTTTGTTGTATAATCAGTATATGTCTCAACTAGGCCTGTGATGTACAACCCCAAATCCAGAGTTGGGACAGTATGTAAAATCAAAATAAAAACTGAAAATAGTGATGTGTAAAGCATCTGTGTGCTGTATGACATTCAAAACACAGCAGCACATTATTTTATGTGATGCCTCATCAACTTAATTCTTTGTTCAAAATAAACAATCACTTCAATTCTGATGCTGCAACACATTCCAGACAAAGTTGGGACAGTGAAGCGTTTCCCACGGTGTGATGTTGCTGTTCCTTTTCACAACACTTAAAGGGCCCATGGTGCTTTGCCTTTTTTTTGACTTATCTACAATGTTACAACAGTGAATTATCATCTTAAACTTGACCTAAAGCTCAAAAAATGAGGTGTACATTTGTTCTAGTACTTCTATGCAGAAGCAACTCAGTTCATACAAGACTCACAAACTGTCACTAGAAAAACTTTTTTCCTACAAAACAAAGTCTTATGTAATAGTTTAATGATATCCATGAAAGGACATAATTTGTGACCAGAGGATGTGGAGAAAAATATACAGTAGGGCCTGAGGTTACTCCATGTCCAGGAATGTTCCTGTACAGGGACTCGCTGTTTTACCTGACTGGGTCTAACCTACAAGCAGCCGGACTGTGAAGCCCCCATGGTGTTGAATAATCAGCTCATCATCGCTGGATTCCCCCGGAGCACAGTACCTGCTTGTTTTGACTGCTTGAGGCCAGTGTGTCTGCAGCATGTGATGTGTTGCTGGTTAACGAACCATGATGTTATTGCTGGCACTACACTACCTGTTGGAATTAATTTCACTACTTTGGGAGTGTATGTGGTCATGTGGGGGAAGACACAGCAACCACTGGTTGGATTTACCGACCTTGGAGCTACTTGAAAGGGAGTGATGTTTCCACTACTCGGTGGGACTTAATGGTAAGTTTAACATTAGAGAGAATTGTTGTAAGGTTGGAGAAGTTACTATGTCTGCATTATGCCAGTCAAAATAGGCCTCTTCTCAACTACCTCCTTTGTTTAGAGTGTTACAAATCTCTTTTCATTGGTACATATATCATTGTTTACCTATCTATGGAGGAGAAATTCAAATTAATTAATGCTGTTGCGGTTCATTGTGCTGTTCACGTGAAGCAACACATGCAGCAGGAGTTCGTAAACATAAACTAGCCTCTCATTTTTAGGAAGAGGGTCTCTGGTTTTATTGTTCTGAAATAATTAGACCATTTAAGAGTTATGAGGGGTGTCAAGCTAATGTTAGGTATTTTTAGTCAGATAGACATTGGTTAGGTACTTGTTGTATTAGGAATGTTTAGTGTAGTCAGGATGTCTAGCTCAGGCTGTTAAATGCTTAGTCATTCCCATGGGGTACTCCAGGTTGTTCATGTTCAAGGATAACTAGATAGAAAGTTGATTACTGTATGACGTGTTTAATCATAATTGTAATCATAATATCTTCTTATGCTTAATGTCATGACATGTCACTGGATGTCCTGTCAGAATGTCTTAGATACGCACCACACAATCAATGGACAATCACACATTGATTTTCTTCATGTTTTGACTACTGCTCTGGTCAGCTGCAAAGCTGGCACCGGGAGACGTCACGGTTTGACGTTCCTGTGTAGAATGGGGCTAGCCCAGAGCAATATAATGGCCTGTTGGGTTCGGGGTCTTTCATCCTTCAGCTGCCTGCGTGCATGTTGGAGATGCAAGATACCTGAGCGTGTAATGTTAATTTTTACCTGTGTTCATGGAATAAATCAGCACCGTTTTGTAGTTACTTGGACTGCCTCGTCTCTCAGAGTTAGCATGGTAGAAGAACCGGGTACAACACTAATCTAGAGGTACCCAAGATTAAACCTTAAATGGCCGGAAATGAGTATGCAATGTCACCAAGTGATATACAGTTCCTTAGACTCACTCTGTCAGTGCTTAAAGCAAGGAAATTCCTGGATACAATCAAACGTTTGGTTTGTCATGTGACTCACTTTGGATCCAGTGTGTTCAGAGATAGGATATCCCTATTTAGTGGCATTCATTTGAATCTGTCTTTGCAGAGCAGGTTGGTTTGTTGCTGTTGTTGCCGTTAGTTGCTTTGAGAGTTAGAAGTGTTGTAGCAGATTGTGTATTTAGTGGAGAATCACTGTAGATATAGAGATAGGTCAATAGATAGATAGATAGTAAGTTAGAGAGAAATGGATAATAGTTACATAGTTAGATAACACTAGATATAGTTACATAGATAGTCCTAAATGACGTTAGATATAGATATAGATATATTACCTATATAGTTAAAATATATATATAGATATAGATATATTACATATATAGTTACCCAAACCTCTATGAATTATCCAAGCATTTCCTCTGTACCCCAGCCTCATCTGTGCCATGTGAACGGGTTTTTTCCAAGGCTGGGGAAATAGTCTGTAAAAGGAGAAGCTGCTTGTGTCTGAAAACTGTGGATATACTGTTATTTCTCAATAAAAACTCATTAACAATTACACAAGCACACCCACTGCCCTGTTCTTCAAGCACACCCTCCTTACCCACATACCCATGAACCTCTTTACCAATGAACCCCAAAACAAACTTTGCCGAAGTCCCTACTATAATCTGTATTTGCACCAGTCCCATGTGAAAATGGCATCTGTCTGAATTTGTAGAGCACATCTCATGAATGTAGCAGCACCATTTAAGTGTTTTCATAACACAAAATATAAGTGAGGAGTATATAGGGTTACAATCAGACGTGCCTCAACATGTGTCCATGTTTATTTTATTGAAATACAACCATGTAGTGTAGTCGAACAGGAATGTGCATAGCGAATCAAATCCCGAACAATCCATGAACCAATAAACGACGCGTCTTGACTGCACTTCAATTTCTTGACCACTAGATGTCCTACTCGAGCACTGTGTCATTGAAGCCTCGAGTAATTAACCATTTGTGTGAATACTGTGTCGAAGCTTCAACAAGGCCTCATCGGCCATCACTATCCATCGTCTTTAGATTTGCATTGTAGCGTTCCTGGCTTTCTCAGCTTCTCTGTTTCCCAGTGAGATTCCTGTGTGGACACAGCCCTGTTGTCTCATGCCCTTTTATAGGCATTGGTGGGGCATTAATGTATGCTAATTAGGAATGACTGGCACATGCTTTCAACTTACAAACATGTGGGATTCATCAGTGTAAGAAAACAGGTGCGAACAATTCTGCAGTTTAAGAGCACGATCATGAATCAGATGTAGACTTTTCTTAGGACCTTTCTTAAAAACTAATTTTAAAAAACACTTGGTGAATGAGGCCCTGTGTAATTCTATATGCTTGGGGTAGGTTTTCATTTTCAAGGAATCATATTATGAGGCTTTTAGCTTGGCTTTGAGATGCTGTGGTGGAGGTCTGTGCTCTCTATGTGCTGTCGATTTTACTTTTACTGTGCTGCCGTGGTTTTTAATCTGGGGGTCTATGTGCTTCTCTTCTTTCTTCCATCCATGCTCTACAGAGCTGCTCACACACACACGTCCCATAGGTGACATGTGTGAGTGCAAATATATCCCTCTCTCTATCAATATGCGTTCTACTCTGTACTTGTGAAACAATCAGTTACTGCCCAAGTACTGTTCCAGTTTAAAGTGTGCACATTGAGCTTACTGTGTCCTCCTATCCTTGATTCAAGAGTTTTATTTGCCATTTATGCATAAACAGAGAGTCTAGGCATATAGGAATTCTTGTGAAGAGTTAAAAGCCAGAAAAAGAAGAACACCTAGTCTAAAAATAAATTTACATAGGAATAAAATAGTAAATAAAGTGATAAAATATTGCACATAGTGGTATTGTACATGGTATTCTACTTAGTAGGGTAATGAGGGGTTATTGCACAGGTTTATCACATTTTGTATTTACCATCAGTTTTACTGCGGAAGGGAAAAAGCTGTTGTAAAATCTTGTTCTGTGTGTGATGATACTGTTTGCTCTGCTGTGCCTGAGGTTGTGGGAGCAGTTTTTGTCTGAGCAGAGTATGAGCTGGGTGGAGTGGGTCTCTGATTATGTTCTCTGCCCTTTTGCGACAGTGCTGTGTGTATAGTGTGTCCATAGCAGGCAGTTCAGTCTCAGTGATCCTCTCTGCAGTCTTTATGACCCTTTGAAGAGCCTTCCTCTCTGCCTGTGTGGTGTTACCATACCAGACTGTGATACCAGTAGTGAGGACGCTCTCTACCAGTCCTCTATAAGCCTGGGTGAGAGGGCAAAGGTTCAGCTTTCTTGAGCTGCCTGATGAAGTATAGCCGCTGCTAGGCTTTCTTCACTGTGGCAGTGTGAAGTTCAGACTTACCAAGTCCGAACTCCCAGGTACGAGAGTGGAATTTGGCATACTTTTTCACTAACCATGTGTGGATACTATTTAGGTAAATTATATTATATATTAAATTCATATTTAGGTCAATTTAAGTATAAGACTGGACTTTGTATTGCCATATACCCAATTAATCAGGCACTCTGATCAAGATCAGGGCCAAAAAACCTGATCGGGCAAAGCAAATGTAGCATACACCAGAGAGGTGAACGGTTAAGACAATAAAGCACCTTAATTTGACTTGACATGATGTGAGTACTTTAAGGCTGACAGCAGTCATGGTCACTTCTTTTTGATACAACCCAACTAGAATGGCTTCACAAAATATATTCAGCAATCAGTGAAATCAGTTATAAAATGAAACCTCTGATACAAAGTCTAGATCAAAGAGAGACTCCATAGGGCCACTAATCCATATTATTTGTTAGACCTTCTTTGCTGCTGGGTGTCTAATCACTACA